TAGTGCTCTGTCATAGTTTTACTGTGTTGACTTATTATATTGTTAGTAACAGTATCGGAAAACATCACAATGACATAAAAAACTTAGGATCGAGATTTTACTTATTTTTCTTTAAGGTAATGAATGTATTACGTTTTCTTTGAGATGTTTTTGTAAGTTCAGTATAAGATGTCAAAGTAAATAGTTGGTTTAGGAGGATATTTGAGTTCTAATGTACTTCAAAACTGTTTGTTGTACAGGGAGTAAACAAAATTGAATCCAGGAATTTTTAAAATTAAAAAGAAGGAAGGGGGGTCCACACTCACTCAAAAACTTTTTAAGGGGTCTGGGGGTTTTTTTTTGGGGGGGGGTGAAGTAGTTAAAAATTATTTTTTAATAATTTTTTTTGTTGTTCTCTCATAAACATGTGTTTTTTCTGCAAAACAAGGGACCCCCCTAGCCCTCCTCCCCTTGAATCCACCTTTGGGGAGCTTAGAATTCAGAATTCAAGAAAAAATCTCTCCATTAATTGAGGAAATAGGAAGTTTGCCTTAGCCGCATGTTTCCTCACTTTTAGAGACACAGTTGCATTTGCTAAGGTAAGCTCAGATATGTAACATAACACTTCAGTGTTCAACAAGCTGCACATTTGCAATTTCACGCCTCTCTTCTCTTGATAAGTGGGTGTTTTTCCAGCTAGTCTATAATTTTTATGGGGTTTTGTAGGTCTGTTTAGAGGAATATTTGTTGACAGAGTAAGAAATAAGTGTTGATTGTTTCCAAACTCTGTAAGCATGGTAAGACATTCCTTGTATCATGGCAGATGAGTTTACCTGTCAGTGTTTGCTTACGTGCAGTTTTTTAGTGCACAATTTTGTTTGTGCACCTTCTGTAATGGTGTCACTTAATTTGCAATTATCAACATTTAATACTGACCAAAAAATAAAACTTTTTTTTCTCATCATGAAAAATTTGGATTTTACATCCTGGAATGTATTAATTAATTAAATTCCTTTCCTCTCGTATTTACAAATCTTTGATAATCGTTGCTTTAGTCGTGTCTCTATGTGACACCTCCCCTAAGAATGACAGGTCCCGCAATGAGTCTGTGTTTTGTAAACTCTTGTAATCCCTCTATACCCTCGGCTTAGTTAACCCCCAGTGGGTGGCAGGCAGGGTATCAATAAATTATTTTTCCTGAGTGAAAAGAATCTGATTCCACCATTGAAGGCCTTATTCAGCTCAGCCCAAGTTTACGGCATTGCCGAAGAATGGGGTATAAAATAAGATAGGTATAAACCAGTGGGATTGCGGGCGTAAATTGGCTCCTAATTAAAAGATATTCCTCGCAAAACCAACAACCCTGTTAGTGTAGCTCATATTGCTGATATTAAAAGGGTTGGAAACCAGTGTGCGTTCCTATATAAGTGTGAATCTTTTGTCACAGCTGAAAGAGTTGCCGGATAAATATGGCTGATTGTCCAAGCAGTTTGAATATACCTATTAATATGTTTTGATAGAAGTAATGAGAAATAATGAAATGTTTGGAGAGATATTGTGGTCTGTTTTTCATACAAGAAATGTCATTATGAATGAGACAAATAATGGAATTAGGCTTCCATTGTGTTGTCATTTGTCGTTACATCAGTTTACAAAGCAAAGGTGATCTTATGGGGAAACATTTGCTACTGTACTTGTGTTTACTATATAGGTATTATTTTCATTTACAGGGAAGTACCTCCTCTTAAAAATGAGACATTTTTAACAGCTAAACCAGCAGTCATTAAACCTAGGTTTTAGTTTTGTAAAGGTCTGTCTTTATACTAAATATGGTAGAAACTCTACATGTACATTATTTGGCGTATTCAAAATTTAGAGAAATCAAGGGGTATAGAGTTGTTAGCGTAATCATGAATTAATGCTATGCATGTTCATGCCTTGTTTTGTATAAAAAAAATGATTTCTTAGCATATTCATGAATTAGCGCATTCTTGTCTGCCCCAAAGACACTAAAATATGAAGCCCACTTTTTTTCTTACACGTACAGTATATTTCACATGTATACAACAATCAGCGTTAAATTCTACACCATATTTAGACTGTGCCTTCAGAAAGATACCAGTGGTAGGATTATCAAATAGGGCCTGGTAATGGGGATAATAAGTCTTTGCTAAACAGCATGTAAATTATCAGGCTGCTAGAGTTTGTTCAGAACCGCAGTTTATTCAAGATAGGAAAGGGAGAAAAGAAAACTTTTTATCGGTTGATAATAATAAAAGCCCAAAGGAAGGAAAAAAGTTTTTAACACAGAGAGACTAATCCTACGTAGAGTAATTATTCATTTTTTGCTGATAGGATTTCAGGATGGTTAAGGATTGTATCTGTAGGATTACATTTCATTGAAAAGACGAAGGTAAAAGGTCCATGTATAAAAGGGCAATAACTCTGCAGCTTCAGGCATACTGTGGTTAGATTTTATTATTAATGAGAAATCAGAGATAAAGCTGCCATCTGAAATATATCAGATTTTGATTATGTTATTATGTTTATAATATTTATATTTTTTTTTTGGGGGGGGGGGGACTAACTGAATCCATATAATAGTTATTCTAAAGGGCAAAAAGGTCTTTTTTTAAAAAATGTATGTTCATTAATTAGATTTTATCTAGAAATTTGTAAATCAATTAAAGACTTCATGACTTATTTAGTGTTAAGTATTTTTAAGGTGCCTCATTACAAAGGGCCATAACTCCCTCTGTTCTGTGTCACCTGTTAGGTAACCAGTGTATGTTTCTACAAATAGAAGTGACATTGTGTACTTGAGAAGTGATAGGAATTCTAATGAGCTCTGAATTCTTCCATACATCAGTTTAATTATCTTACCTTCCAGTACAGAGATGATAATCAGTATGTAGACAGTCACTGCGGTGTAATTTCAGACCAGGGTAGCTTAAGATGTGATGTGTGTGTCATGTGGGATTAAAGTTTGGTAACAACCCATATCTAATACAAAATTTTTGATTTAATTTTAAGTTTACATGTATGTGCAAATTATGCACCTATTAGTTTTCAGGATTCAAAACATTTTGTGAGTTTGTGCCATGAGGTACGATTTAAGGTGGATGAACTTTTCATGTAATTATACAGATCTTTACTGACCCCGGCCAACATTTATAGCCAAGGAGGGTATATATAAGAGTGAAGAAGTTTAGTCTTTTAGATATCTTATTAATTTTTTTATCAAAACTCCTGGTTGCATGTATTAGAAAAATCCAAACATAAGGCTTAGATATTAGAATGTCAGTTGACAGGTGCTTGTTTGGGATCTCTGTGATTGGTCTTAATGAGGTCCCCTAACCCGAGACCTTGAAAACTGGGCTTTAAATTGATTGAGTGTTTAAGATAACTTCATATAAAACTAAGAAAATGAAAAATTGATAGCATCAAGCAGATGTGTTGACATTTGGATATGCTAAACAAAGGGATTATTTATATACTTGTTAAATTGATCCAGTACCTACAGTATATTGCCAAAGTATTATCTGTACAGTTTCATTTTGTTTGCTATGGTAGTTCTTTATCTATATTTAGGCATGTTTAACAAACAGACAATAATCAACTATCTATATTTAGGCATGTTTAACAAACAGACAATAATCAACTAAGTTGGATAGAACACTTCTTTACAAGTTAGCTTTTGGACAGACCTGTAAATGCAATTTATCTCTGATTTCACTCACCTTTAAATTTTCTTCAGATTTCAAGTACACTTACCCAGCTGCAGTGAGACAAAATGCATACAAAACTGCATGATTCGGGGACTAGTGTGCATATTTCTGGATTTTAAACCTAGGTGTTTTATATACATGGAAAATTCATGATCAAATTTAAGGACAGTTCATTCAATATTGTCTGTGGCATATGTATGAAAAGTCTTTTTAGTGCATAGAGGTTTCCTTGTGAAAGATGTCAATTTTCTCATTTACTTTCTTTTTGCGAATGGGAATGAATTTACGACAATTTGAAACGAGAGTAAACATTAATTATTCAGGATACGTAATTCCACATTTTTGAACTGTACCTGTATGGAGCCTGGTGTTTATGTGATATGGCGTACCTGACAGACATTTCTGTGATGTAAGAATTTAATTTAGGAATACAATACTAAATTAAAAGTGCATTGCAATCAGGAGAGCTCCATTTTGTGCAAATATGTACACAAATGACAAGATCATCTTCCATTCTCTTTTGTCCGATTTTTGCCACTTTGTGAAAATGTGTCTAAAAATGGAGAGGTCTTATGCAGTCTAATTTCATGACATTTTATGCCTCAAAGTTTACCTGCCAAGTTTAAGGTTGGTAAAGTGCTTTTAAATTTGTGATGCATTAAGATTTAAATCACTCATCCCAGATTTGTCTTACATGTTGTAATACATTTTTTGGTGCCATAATCGGTGAATTATATGATTTTAATAGAAAAATCCCATTTTCTCTTATCTATGTCTACCGAATTTTTGTCCTCATTGCTTTGACAAGTCAAGTGTGAGATTCTGAAATAGATGAAGCAATGTCTGTTGCTAGTTCACCTGATAAAATGATGTGACATAACTCTTCTAACTCAGTCAGGGGCAGCCACCTTAAGAACTTGATTGAGTGCAACCACTAAAGTTTTACCCAACAGAACAAGTTGGTCCCTGGTACTTTCAAGAAGCCACTGGTTGTAATAATGATCAGTGATGATTCCCAGTCATGTATTAAATGACTTTTTTCTGTTAGTTGAGGAATGCTATATTGATACGTAGTTGAGAGATATTTGTTATTTTTATCATATCAATAAATATAATCTGAAATTAAGCTGCAAAATGGGTTAAATTTGCCCAGATGACATCATGTTGTCTAGAAGTTATTAGGTAAACTTATTAGTAATATTTAATTTTTCAATTTAAGGTACTTTGAATTTTCATTATTTTGTTGGGTCATGTTTGAGAGGAAAACATCCTAATTTCTTCCCTTTTTTCCAGAAATGACCACCATGTTGGGTCCACCT